ATGGCGTACGTCTCGACATTGGCATCTCAGAAGTCGCAACCGATGGGCGATTTTTCATTAATGAAGTCACACGATTGTGGAATGCGTCAAGCTTTTCAGAGGGGAACTCTACTAACGTTCAAGAACAATGGGGCGAAGCTATTGGCCATTCGTGTACACAGCCTCGATGTTGGCAGCAATACCCCGAGCTGTTAGAGACTCTTGGGACAGAAGGAAGTGAGGTGGGCTTACCTGGACGCCCCGCGAAGCGACAGCGGCCCGGATAAAGACGTACTTTCAACATCTCGTCTTGCTGGTTATTACCAATTCTTTATTCGTCTCCATAGCTTTCCTACTATACTCAATCAATCGGGCTTATACTTGCCGCACGGAGCTAAGCCGCAATGCGAAGCTGTGCTGCTTTTTCTACTTATCCTGGCCAAGTCTATTAGCGTACGACCATCCTCGTCGCGGTTATCAATGTCGGCGCCGCTATCTAGCAGTTTCTGCATAACGTCGTCACGCCCCAAGATGTCGCCCATGACAATGGAGTCTTCCATCAATATCTCGGCTATCCACCTGAACGCCTCTCGCTAGCAGCAGATCTATAATGCTGATGTATCCCTTTTCGGCAGCTAATGATATCGGCGTCCGACCATGAATGTCTTTACTGTCGGGCTCTGCGCCACTGTCTAGCAGCAGCCGCACGACGGCTTCGGCCCTGTTGTAGACAGCCCATGCGAGCGGTGTCCGACCAAAGGAGTCTCTTTCGTCAATTCTGGCGTCTCTATCGAGCAGCAGCATCACATTCCGCTCGCATCCCATGCCGGCAGCCCATGAGATCGGTGTCCGACCGGTCTCATCTGCACGATCAACCTCAGCGCCGTTGTTGAGCAGTAGCAGCACTACCTCGTCGTGCGGATTGCTAGACGCCCATGAGAGTGGCGTCCGGCCGGCCGTAATCTACCTCGGCGCCCTTGTGAAGCAGTAGCTGCACAAGATCTGCGAATCCGTTTTCAGAGGCACAAGCTAATGGTGTTCCCACGTTACCACGAAAGTTGATATCAGCACCTCTTTCTATTAGTAGCCGCACCGCCTTTGTATGCCCTTCGTTGACAGCATACATGAGCGGCGTGAACGCAAGCATCAGCATCGTCATAGTACCATTTGTGGCACTAATTAGCGATCTGGTCAGACGTGCAGCTGGTCTCGGGCTAGACTGTCAGCAGTGGCAGCCAGCACAGGCAACCGGGCGAGAGGAGAAGCCGCGGGTGTCACGGCTCGTCTTCGTCAGTGCAGATCAGGTCAATAGCACAGAGTTCTCGACTTATACGGACCGGCTGCGAAGCCGGGGTCTGCTCAAGCGGTTCTTTGTCGACGAGTGCCATACGATTATTATGGACGCTAGCTATCGAAAGCGGCTTACGGAGCTGAAGTGTATCTACCGGTACGGCTGTCCGGTCATCTTACTGACAGCTACACTACCGGTGCGGCTTGAGGCTTGGTTCCGCCAGATAATGCTTGCAGGGGACGCCGAAATCATCCGAGCAAGGACCGACAAGAAGAACATCAGCTATAACGTCATGCAAGTCACGGGACCAGGTCGGAGCGCAGTCGAGGACGAGGTCGTGAAGCATGTCATCCGACTGACCGGCCGCATGAGCGGGAGGCAATAAGGCGTGATCTACAGCCGGTCCAAAGCAAACTGCACACGGCTGGCGGAGCTGATCCGATGCGGGTACTACCACAGCGACATGAGCTTGTTTGGATTACGCGGCGCTCCAGAGACGACCGCACGGCGGGTATGTGGCATGCGGCCCGCCATCGCTGAAGCTTCCATGGCCCCCCGGAAGCCTCTGAGGGCGGCCAAGCGATGTTCCAGAGCCTGTCGCCATGAACGCAGAATCGTCCCCTGCAGCCAGATTACTTTTCAATCCAAGTCGCGCCACACCAGGCGGCCAATTGGGAATGAGCGGCCATGCAACCTTGACCGCACGGGCTGGACAGCTGAACATTGATTCGGCTATGACATAATATCGCTGACAGACTTTGGGACAAGCGCGAGTATGGTGGGTATGGAGGAATTGATAGCGGGGGTTTCACGCCAAGACTCTAGAGCTAGGTCATACTTTCTGTCATTGATGGCGTCGGAAATGCAGGCTAGAGCCGATCTTGCATGTAGATCGGTCGCTCATACCACGGCCAGTGCCGCGATCTCGTCGTCGGCAGGCGTGCCTACTTCGCGGGACGATTCTCGTTGAAAACCTCCACCCATAATCAGACCCTAGGACCACGGCATATCACTCATAACGAAATACCCCTTTCCCCCACATTCGATTTTCATAGAAATCTCTCGTGGTGACTTGGTTCCTGATTGATTGCAAGCTCTAGAGTCCTGCTCGGTCGCCCAGGTGCGCCCCGCATCAGTGTTGCCCCACTCGTTGTACTGCATTAACAGTCTGGCTTGGGCGCCACTCACGTACTGTACCAGACGAAGAACAGAAAATATTAAGGATTTTGAAATCGATATGATCGACAATTTCGTAGTGCACTTGACGATGCGAAGATACTACTCATATACTCTTTGAGGCTCTCGGTGGCCGGCCGACGATATTATTGTGCAGCTTGTGCGGCACGTCGAGGAGCAGTACAGCAGAAGAAAAGCCCGAACCAACTTCCCCAGCGGATGTAGATAGACAGCCTAATCACTTCAGCGAAAAGCTCTTCCATGTGCTTCGCAAAAGCCGGGAAGTTCAATGCTTGTATCTAGCCCATGCCAAGTTCACGCCATGATAATTTGAAAGGACCTCCCAACTCGCAGATTTTGAAGCTGTACCCTGATTGATTGATTGATAAGCCTGTGTGCTTCAAGTGGCGAGAAGGATTTTCGTGATCCATTTCCGGGTCACGGGGAATGTGATCGCCTGCATCACGTCCAAAGCATATAGTAGAGAAAATGCTGGATACCGTCAAGATGCGCCCGGATGCTGAAGGGGTTCCTAAATGCTCTCTAAGGAACATCGTAGAGTTAGGCCAATATTTTCAGCTCGCGTGACGTATGGAGGCGCGAAACTAAGGCGCTAAAAAAGAAGCCGCCTCAACAATTAAACCCCAAGTGGGCATTGTCTCCACCTGTTGATTCACTGATACAGAAAGTACTTGACGTCGGTCGCGGAACAGGTATGTTTCCTCCTCATGTTCTCACAATTGGCGCACATAGCAGCTTACTCGTCCAGGCATTTGGGCAATGTGAAGAATGAACGTCTAACTTGATGCCCTGCGAGGCCGAGCTCATATCTTTCAGTGATTTTGCAGACCACCATCCTCATATTGAAGTGATCGGCCTGGACATCTCCCCGCACCAGCCACACTGGATTCCTGTAAATCTGAAGTTCGAGATGGATGGCATCACACAGGGGTGGACATATCCCGCCGACACATTTGACTACATCCACATGCGCTGGCTGGTGGGCTCAATAAGCGACTGGATCACTCTCTACAAGGAGATCTTCAAGGCTCTCAAGCCAGGCGGCATATTTGAACGCAAAGAGTCGTCCTGCCTGATTCAGAGCGACGACGAATCCGTCGGCCCGAATACTGCACGAAATCTCTGGCGCTTCTATACGGCAACGTCTTGTCTTCGGGGTTTCGACAAGTTTCCGTCCTTCACGCGCGCCGATTGATCTGTTAGATATTGCCACTTGTCCCAAGTCATGAAAAATACGCCCACTGCTCAGTACACCCAACGCCCGAGGGTAATTTCTAGATACAGACTACTCTCAGCGACTCGCATCCTTAGGGTATACGTCCCCAACTCCAATAGACTTCTCCACCGACATAGCAACGCGAGATAATTAGGATCTTCTCCCGAGGACCGATGGCATGATACCAGCTGGATATACGCGTCTGAATGTTCTGCGCAGCAGCGTTAGAAACTCTTGGGCTCACGATAAACAATTGTCAACATTTCACACGAGGCTGACATTAGATGCCTAACATGAAAGCCGCCTAGAGCTCGTAGGCTCAAATAGCCGATCCTGTTTATTTCAGCGACATGTTTGGATTTTTGTAGCCATCCATGTTAAGCTGTGCCTCGTGGCCGAAGACCATTCAGTTCTTGCCCTGAGGTGGCAGCCGACTTTACGTGCCCCACAGTGGAGTCATGATGCTGCTGCCACCCATTCGCTGGTGAGCTTAAATCGACCTCCCAATTCGAGGCTGAATGAGAGTCATTCTCAAAAGCTTTAGCCAGTAACTCCGGCTTGTACTCCGATTAGAGAATGCATTTATATTATACAGGTCCTCTATAGTGTGCAGTCCCTTCATCTATGCATGGCCAAACATACTGTTATCGACAGCGAGCAGTCATTAAATGATAGCGGAGCTGTGCCGCAGATAGGCGGATCGTCATTCTTGAAAGGACGTCAGGAGGCGAGGACCTCGCACCAGCATGAGACAACTGCCGCAGGCTCGCCGCAGATTTATCATCTCCTGAGGTGCTTTGGATCGGTCGGCTTTTTTTCACTATGCTAGGCTGTGTTTCTGTGGCTACGTACCTGGCCTGGCTGTTATGCTCGGATCCACGTTGATTCCCATTGATCCCCATCGAGAGACAGAAGGATGCAAAGCCAGTTATGCGTTTATGCTCCATCGGCTAGACCGTGTTTGGTCAAAACCCTGTCGCATCTGGCCCCGCCCATCGTCTGACCCATGGCTGGAGCGATTTGTCTGTAGTCGACGCCCCGGCAGAAACCGCCTCCACTACGCTCCTTCCCGAGGTCATGGGAACTTCGACATGAGCCCGCCGTCATTTCCATTTCGTTGGACACCAACACCCAAGCGCTCACAAGCACGACCGTGTCGGACATTCCCTACTGACGTTGGATAGAGTACGCCTCTGAAGCCCGGGACAAACCATCGCGCGTTACAGAACCCGCTTCCACTTTGGGTCTGTCTAACCGCGTCCTTGACAATGGCATCCACATTCACGCCGAATCCGCATTTTTCGCCGACAAGCTCGCTACTGAGGAGAGCCTCGCCGCCTTTCGCAACCTCGCCTTCCCCAAGCAGCTCACGGCCCTCGAGCAGTACTTGGGCGCTCAATTGACGGAGCCCAAGACTGCTCTGCTCGCCGTCGGCCGCAAGTCGGGACAATGCGAGGCAGGAAACACGCAGAAGCGCCAGGCCTGCTGCCGCTCAACCTACTACGAGCCAGCCGAGGCCGAGCGCCAGCCCTTCGTGGCTGTCCAGGATGTCTTTTGCAGCAAAACCATCGCAAGCCCGCCAAGCAGCTGTTCCTGCACATCGATGAGTCTCTCGGGCGAGGCCTTCGCGTCATTGCCTATCACACCAAGAATGACTACGTTTGGTCCCCTGGTTCGGTCATCCCTTCAAGCCAAATCCTGCCTATCATGTATTTTAGCAGGTAGTGACTCAAGTCGAACGAGAGGAGCTAATCGGATGGCTCACAGACCACCACACCCCGCCTTCGTCGGAGAAGGAGTTCGGCCGTCGAAACTATGTGTGGAAGACTTTCACTTGGGATCAAGATGGCCAAATGCTTGCGGCGGTTTCGAAGGGCGGTGGTAAGAAGCGGACAGTCATCATCGAGGATTGCATTATCGAGGTAGTAGAACTCGTGCATACCTCAAACGGCCATGCAGGATGGGACACCACATGGAGGGATGTTAATCACTCCTCTTAACGCATCATGCGAGCAGACGTGATCTTCCTGCTTAAACGGTGGGACATTTGCGTATCGAATCCTCGCAAGCGTCCAAAGGGATCCAAATTGACAGAAGCTAGCCCAGACCGCGCTGGTCTAGATGCTTATGAGCGCCAGAATGGCAAGGACCTCCTGGGTCTGGTACACAGCTTCATGATCGAGGCCTTGGACATGGCGATGCCGTAGGGGCGAACAGGTGTTGAAGAGAATAGACAGGGGGCGGATCTGACTCGGCGAGGATCTCTTGGCTTCTGCGTTCTCTGAGATATCAAATGGAAATACTGGACGCGTTTGTGTCTTCATTGTGCTGCTCCTTCTGTTCTCGCGCTCTCCTCCATCTGCTTTTTGAGCCACTCGGCAAGGTGCTCCAGGGAGGTTGGTTCGGCAAGACTAGAGTGCCCCAGGGGGTCCCGTTCGGATCCTTGGATGTCCACCCTCTTCAACCCTTGCAATGCACAAAGGTCCTGGATGCCTGCATTATTCTTGAAGGACTCGAATCCTCTCTTCTGTATCAGGTCACTGTCAAATTGAAGAGACAAGTGCCGCAGCCGTTTGCACTGTTTCAACAACTGGATACAAATCGACCACGTGGGAAGCTGTACGAGCCCCAGGTCTGAAGATATAGCCCAATTGTTGGTAGGCTCCGAACTGCTTTCCCAAACTGAGTGCAGCGTTTCAATGTTCTCGCGTCCGATTTGGCCAGCTGCCATGAGGAACATGGTAGCGCTTTTGAGGCTATCGAAGCAAAATGTGATGAGGCGAAAGGCCAAGGGCAGCGCTTCTCCGCGTATCTGCTTGTTGACATGAAGAACCGATGACGCTTTGCTCAATGGGTAGTAGAAGCCGCTGGGGTCCCCTATACCCCGAGGGAAGTCATTGTGGTCGAAGTCTTCGTCGTCTACTATTGTCCATTTCACTCCACGCAGCGCGAATTTGTAGATGATTTGGCGAATCTCCGAGGGTAAAGCGCTTAGAAAGCCAGGGGCGGGGTCAGGGGTAGAGTTTTGAGTTGCTGCCATTTGCTTATGGAGCTAGGAAAAATATGCATCGTCAGCTTGGTGTTAAGTTACAGCCGCATTGCACGATCACGGACGCGGAGAGGACACTGACCTCCGCCGTAGACAGCACGTTCGATGCCTGGGCCTCGGAAAAGGGAATGACAAGGCCCAGTCCGAACTTGTAGCAAATTCTAATGAGGACTCCGTAGGAACCAGGACCGCGATCATGGCTAAGTATGACGGAATCGCCGTTATACACCACGGTCTGGTGAGCATTTTGTCATTAGCTTGCCTCAATAGATTCAATTTGCTAAGCTTACCTCGCGGTTGTCGTTGGAGACGGAGTCCCAAACGGAGAATAGGCGCGGCGTGAGCATTCCGCTCGAAGCCGTTGGGCCGCTCGACAAGGCCTCATTCAGGCTCAGCCAAAATCCCTTCTTTTCCTCCATCGTCTGGAGGGGGCTACGTTTGCCATGCTTATGCCAGTGTGAACATAATTCGAACAAAAGGATGAACCAAAACAAACATACAAAAGAGGTTGTGGTAGTACCACAGCAGAAGCGTTCAGCGGAGTTACGTTTCTTGAAAGGCCAGTTGAATCTCATCCACACCTCCACCACAGTATTTTCTTGCCCCTACAGTACAATAAGCCAGACTTCATGCACCGTAAAGCTTGACTCCATGCCACGTACAGCCGAACGTAAGCACTCCATGTTTTATAGGTCATCCCGGCTCGCCCCCTTACTCTCATATTACAATTGTCGTCTGCTCCGGTATTGTCGCGAGCCCCCTGTCCCAGTACAAAGCGGCCTTGAAGGCATGGCATGGATTTATTACGCCCGGAGGGAAGTCCCTATAGGGCCTCGACGCTACCTTGGCCTTGAAGGCGGTGGAATGGGGTGACGATGGGAATTGCCTTTGAGGGCAATTTGATGTGGGCGGGGCGATTGACTGCTGGGCAGTCTGTGGCCTTAAATTGCCGTCGAGTGCAGTGCACGTGGTGCGAACGGGCGGTAAATTGGGCCAACGAAGTTTAACTAGGGAACCCCCCCGGACGGAAGTCAGCGACTGGCATGTCGTGTCGTTATTTTACCGTCAACATCGTCGGTATCTCCCCTGGGGTCAGCACCAGGCTCGTCGGACAACCAATGACGAAGAGGTCACAGACGGACGATGGGGGCAGACGGGGCCAGGCAAGCAGGCCGGTCAAAGAAGCAAGCAAGTCAGAAGGTGGGCAGCAGCAGGCGGAATGGAGGGTTGGAGCGGTCGAGGCGGATGTGGACGGCTTCATGGAGGCAGAGTCTCTAAGAAGGCAGGCCAGGCCGTACCTCTTCGGGGTGGCCAAGGTGTCGCTATCGGGACTCGATGCAAACTGGGGCAGAGCGACGTCGGGCTCGGGAACCGGAAGGAAGACGCCCGGCATGTGAAGAGGTTATGTGAAGTGTTCCTCCAACAGAGCCTATGGTCCAGGGAAGCCTCCCGCGACTGGCGTCTTGCGCTAAATCAGGGCCTGATTCAAGGGCGCTCGGGCCCCGCCGGGCGTGCATGGTTGGCAAGGGTTCGCGATCGTGATTCGAAAGACAATTGGCACAGTAGTGACCGCGAATTGTGTCCGCTTTTTAGACTTTAGTTACTGCTCCCGCACGGACCATAAAACTGTGACACATTATGCCGCACACTGTGCAGATTGTCCTAATAGCCAGTACCCTCCAAAAGTGGATTACAGCATAACATGCGGCAGTTGGGGGCCGTTTCTTCGTCACCTCATCTGCAATGGTGATCATTGCGAATCGTCGGACAACGTTCGCCATGCACGTCGCAGGATGACGGCACAGTATGACACGGTTCTCACAACGCGGAGCATTAAAGTCCACTTTGTGCCTGTTGATGCGGGATAAATTTTACTCGAATGTCTATTCTGCACACATACATATGCAAACACTTTCTGCTGCGGCGCACGACCAAAAGTTGGCGTCATGGTCAGCCTCTCCTTACGCGAGGAAGCCCAACCGGGTATAATAAAGGAGAAGTAGCCCTTACACTCGGCCCACTGATTCTGGCCTCCTACAACGGCAATTGAGGAAATGCGCTCTGGTCGTGTCACGTTCGTTGCTCGCGATTCGCATCTTGCAGGTTATTGTAGAACGATGCGAACTGTTTATGAGCGTCATTGCTCCGATCACGATGCTTCCTCATTGAAGAGAGCATTACGATTTTCTAGCACTCCTTAAGTAGCCATTTGGATCTCCGTATCAGGTGCCGATGCTACCTGAGTATGGTGTGCGGGAGACGTTGTCATAAACATGGTACCCATCAACATGCTCCTCATTAACTTTAAGTTTGTGAGGTTGGAACTTTGCCCAGGATTGATCCATGTTTGATACTGTAATTATCTCAGATCATCAACTGCAGCTCTTTGCACTGCCAATGATTCAAAATCGACACTCCAGATAATATGAGGCAAAATTATATTGCATAGTTATGCACATTGTATCGTCACAGGTGAGTGACGAGTCTGCCTTACCCCGCACTTTCAGCCTTACATTGGGGCTGAGAGACGGCCCAATATCCCACCATGATAATGCTGATGCCTGCTTCTTTGCATCCCATTTGACCTTCACGTGGGATATTCGGCGACCGAGATTCCCTCACCCCAACCAGGAACCCTGAATGCCATCGGTAATACTCTACAATGCGGCTACTGCAACGAGATAACGCCAACAACTACACCCTCACGGCCGATCTGCGCGCTGACGACATCCCCCCCTACGCCATCCTTTCCCACACCTGGGGCGCCGGCGAAGTCATCTACAACGATGTCAAAACGAGTTCAAATGACTGGCAACAGAAAGCCGGCTACGATAAGATCAAATTCTGCGCCGACCAGGCCAAGCGACATGGCCTGCAGCATTTCTGGGTAGATACCTGTTGTATCGACAAATCTGACGCCGTCGAACTCCAGACGGCAATCAACAGTATGTTCAGGTGGTACCGTGGCGCGAAACGATGCTACGTGTTCCTGTCCGACGTCTCCTGTCCCCCGACCTCCAGTCAGCAGCGGGGAGTGATATCGGGGGAGGCTGCGTTACGAGGCAGTAGGTGGTTCACGCGGGGCTGGACACTTCAAGCAATATGATGGGCCTGGTGTCACGATCCGGTCTCCGGGGGTCAAGCCGTCTGACCGGGCGCTGGGGTTTGTGTTCTGAGAAGGTAGGTAGAACCTGCGCAATACTGACTCCGTGCTGTCGTGATCTCTGGGGGTTGTCGTTCGTGTCTCTTGCGAGATATCACACTTGGATCAATTGAGTGACTAGGTCAGGTGAAGGGTAAGAGTGATACTTAGATTGATCGCTGAGGATGAAAGGTAACGACTGTCTAACTAGGAGATGCCTCATGGCTAAATATCCTTTCCTCCTCATCAGCTTTCTGTAGCGATTGCCTGTGCTCACGGGTCCTTGTCTGCTGGCTCACTGGCTCACCAAGTGAGCCGGTGATCCTTATCGTCCCCTTATCGCTTCATGGTTTACGTAAGCATGTCGTGGTTCCTGGTATCGTCCCGCGTGCATGACCTGCCCTTGTCCTTGGCCCGATCTTGCGACCTGTTGGTCGGGTCGTCACACTACGGGCTCCAACTCCTAACGAGGGGTTCGCCGACATACCCGCCCTTTGGGTTTCTAAGACGCCCAATAACCCGACGGAGGCGAGCTCGCAGTCTGATTTTATCAAAGGCCGAATCGCCCGTCATTAGAATAGCTCTCCGAATTCGATTTACGAGGCTGTTGACCAGTTCTCGAAGGGGGCGCAAGGAATCATGTACAAGGCGGTGTGGACGAAGTCGGAGATCATGATCCTACGAGGGGAGATCGAGGCCCTTAGTAAGCGTCGTAGGTCCAAAACAAAACGAGGAGGGAGCCTGACTCTAGCCGAGGGACAGGACATACAGAACTAGAAGGACGTGGAGGTCCGGATCAAAGAGGAAATGCGACGGAGTAGTGGTCGGAAGTAGAGGACTAAACTGAAGGAACGGTGTTGTGGTATATGTAGCCAGCCCGGACACAACGCCCGCATATGTAAGGTAGATGTGGAAACGTCTTAGGAAGACGATTCCGATTGATTTCAATTGATTTTCTGGCGCTATGATTGACCTTGCTGGGATTGTTGTCGCGTGGTCGTTATGGAGTGTCCAGCTCACGTGTTTGTCCGGCTCACATGTGGAGTACGTTACTACCGAGACGTACGGCACCTTCACGCACCCAGTTTGTACGTAGATTTTTCTCCATCTTGATAGTAAACAGCATAGGGGCTAGTCAGTGGAATAACTCGCTAGAGGCCTTTTACTCGACGTATAGGGTAAAAGAGATTCAATCTGTCGTCCACACGAAGTTCGGAGTGCTTGCAAACCGCCGGTCCAGGCAGCAATTGGATTTTGACGCTATATGTGCTATGACCATATCTCTTAAATCACGCACACCAGCCAACTTCTCCCCCCCTCACGGTCGTGCGTCAAGTAGGACATTTCAGCACCTAGTCAATGCGGTGCTCCCGGTATCGCAAAACCTCCGCCGGTCACTTGATCCACCGACCGTTCCCGTGCAGTCTTGGTTCAGACCATCTAGAACACTTGGCTCTCCCGAGTCAACCCGGATCAACATATCCACACAGCCGCGTGTCAGGGTTCCCGTGAAGATACCATTGGTCTCGCTCTCAGCGATAGTGAAAGTATCGCCAGCTGTAGTGAGAGAGGTGGGGAACTCGTAGGTGCAGCCGTTGCGCTCACCGTTAGCTCTCGCCCAGGTCAATTGGCAGTTCACGCCGTTGTGATCGAAGTTGAAGGCGGCAGAACCACTGGGATCCGTTCCGATGTCGGCTTGCCTAGGCATGCCTGCAGTGAACCCATCACTGTTTAGAGGTCTGATAGTATCTGCTGTGGCCAGTCCGACGGGAATAATGACGCAAGCTAGCTCGAGAATTGCCTTGGTACGCATGATTGGGGCTATGAAAGGACCGTTAGTCACCTTGGCTAAGACTGCAGAGGATAGGAAAGCATGTAGAGGACGGAGTAAGCCTAAGGAAGGAAGCCGCACCTTTTGATAAGAGAAGTTGGCGCGGGGCAGATACTAAAGACGGTAAATAAAGAATGGTGGGATCTATCAGAGGTTAGCAAATATTACTAAAGTAGAGTTTGTTATGAAAAGTGGAGGGAGAAGGGAAGTGAAACGCCGGCCCACCTCGTGAAGACTCAGACCTTGAGCGAAGATTGAAGTGCCGGATGTCTCTGAAGGAGTGAAGAAAGACGAAGGCTCAGAGATAAGTCGCATATTTATATATATGGCGATGGCTAATTGTGTTGAATGCTCCGGTAAACTGACGAAAGTATTCAGTGCCAGAATCCGGGGTCCTGAAACTGAAACTGCTAAGCCAATTCATGAAACCCCTTCTGTGACGCCGAAAGCTCAAAGAAATTGAAGGATGCCTGGCCAAGTAGAACGTATGCAACACTCCCGAGCTCCCCTAAAGCATTGCCAAACGCCCCAAACATCGTTAAACTCGATAGCACTTTGCGTTGGAACAGGTGATCTACAGGGTCCTGTCTTAGCCCCAGGCCTAGGAATCCTTGGCAGAACTTAGCCCGAACCTAAACTCCGCCTACTACCCCAACTTATTCGCGGAACCTTATGCTGGCCGCAAGCTATTCTACATTAAGTTACTCCCCTTGGTACTAACCCTTAACACTCTTGAGCAGCGGGCGGTTGTGGTGCGGCCACTTGGGCCTTAGATATGGATCACCCAGCAGGTCAGGCAAACATGACTCCCGTAGGCAGCAATTCTGCCTGACAGGTTGATACATCTGTTTCGACCCAATGGTGGACGCTAGGTACGGCTTCACTATGTTCCATGGTACTTGGGTATGTTTGCCTCTGTCTACGGCCTGCTATGTCACTTGGGTGCTATCGGGTATGGACGGGCGGGCAGTATGGGCGCGGAGCAAGCAGTTTGTCCAGGTATGGCACGAGACTCAGTCAGAGTGGGATCGTCTCTGTGCCGACGTGGGGGGGCTCCTACAGCGCTCGGACTGGATCCGTTTCTGTCAGTGCTTCTCTGCGGCCTCGTCCATCTCACCCCAGCTGTGGAGAATACGCGATTCATATGCGTCCAGAGCCAGCAGGTCAGAGTCGGTCACGGCGGGTTATTCGGAATCAGCTACTCTGCGCCTGGCCTCGCCGACAGTCCGGTTTCCCTTGGTGCGGACAAGAGGAGGAAGGCTATTACGTCAGCCCATTTTGACCGATACTTGCTGTGGGCTAGTGCGACAAAAGCGAGGTATGAGTAAAAATAACGTTGGTCAGCGAAGGCCTCCACCTATTCCCGCTGATGTAGAGCAGACCCCTGCGCTACAAAACCGGCTCACAACCCCGCCGGGCTGGGTCATCCTATTTCGAGCGATAGAGTCCCTCGGATTCCTGCAGCAGGACGACGCTATTCCTAATACAACCATCATTCCCGTGCTGCCAAGTCACGCCTCAACGTGATGTTCAGTTGGCAGTTGGTCGCTCATACCACCTAAGGTCGGAGATGATGTTCTGCCCTTTATTTTCCACCTTTCTTGTCGATCATTCCTTCATAATTCCGCTTGTACTAGCCGCCGGTTCATGTTCAATATGGCTTCCACTGATACACCCGCGCCGGTTATAGAGTCGCCCAAGTCGGGTCAATCTCCCAAGTCGGCGACCTCTCCCAAGTCGGCACGGTCTCCCGGTGAGACAGCTGCCCCGTTGGTATACATCGACCGCACCGAACCATACTGAGGCTGTTGTAACCCGCTAACAACCCCTCCAGGAAGCCGACACGTTTGACGGCGACTCCGTTCTGGGGGTGGTATGGCACGCGGACGACACGCTGGCTGCTTGATTCTGACTACTTCACTTGCAGACGGACGAAGAGCTCTCCACGGCGTCCCTGACTTCCAGCCTCCGCGAGTTTCACATGGTCCATGGCCGTGCTTACCACAAGGACGAGAGTGGGTGGCCGAGCAACCGTACCACTGATCGTTGCGACGGACGTGCGCCCCAGACTACTTCCTCCCCAGCGATGAGGTGATTTTGCTATGACGGACAACTAGTTATTGAAATTGACTGACAAACCTCCAGTAAGAGTCAGACCGTCTGGGTAAGTGTGGTCACTGGCCACTTCATGGTCGACCGTCAGCTCATGTGATGGACAGACTTCCAGAATCACCAGCTCCTTCTGACCTTTGACGGTCGCAAGTACTTCTCTCCTAATGCCGAAACAGCAAAGAGGGTTCTTGATGTTGGCACCGGCACCGGCATTTGGGCCATTGACTTTGGTATGCAGCCTTCCGAGCATATGTGCACCTCTTGGACACGTGGAGTTGACATTCTGCAGCGGACGAGCATCCCCACGCCGAGGTACGTTCCTTGTCTGAGTGTAGGCTGAACGGCACTCATAATCTCTGGGTTGTGGGAGTCGACATTGCACCCATCCAGCCTGGCTTGTAAGTATCCTTGTTGAACTTGGCTGGCATGACATGGGGCCTGACCGCAGAGGCAGGGTTCCTCCCAATCTGCGTTTCGAGGTTGACGATGTCGAAAAGCCTTGGACGTGGACACAGCAATTCGACTACATCTTCGTCCGCATGCTTGTCGGCTCCCTGGCGAGCTGGGAGCCATTCTTCAAGCAGGCTTACGAGTGAGCTCCTGCATCTCCATCAGTATTGAAACGCAGCCCGCTGACCATACGCCAAAGTACCCTCGAGCCTGGGGGCTGGATCGAGCTCCAGGACCCCGGTACCCCCTCTGTCTCTGATGACGGCACCTTGAAGGACAGATCCCCTTTGTGGCAGCATGACAGACGCTTCATCCAGTCTGCTAAGAACCTTGGCCGCCCGATCCATCTCGCTGCCGACCACGACGAGCGCCTCAAGGACGCAGGATTCATCAACGTCGAGCGCAAGGTCCTCAAGTGGCCCATCAACACATGGCCCAAGAACCCCAAGCACAAGGAGGTCGGCTTGTGGACTCTGGCCAACATCGAGGGCAATCTCGAGACCATCAGCATGGCCCTGATGACCGCGGCCTAGGGATAACTAGGGAGGAGGTGGAGGCCTTCCTCGTGGGCGTCAGGAAGGACCTTCGGGACCGCAGGATCCATGCTTACTGGCCGGTGTGAGTGTTCAATATCTGCTCGAATTATTTGGGGAATAAAACTGACATCGTCTACAGCTACGTGACCATCGGCCAGAAGCCGTTGCTGGAGAACTAGACAGCTCAAATTGCATCAAGTCTTGACCGTTGGGATCAATATTACGCGAACATCGCACATACAGATTGGTCTCATCTAGTAGCGCGGGGGCGGTGGGAGCAAGTGTTGATGATGATTTAGTTTGGCATTCATTACATCAAATGGTAGCATATGCTGCACAACAGCACTCTTTACTTCAGCACATCGAATTCGCAAGAGGGTGGTGATTTCAGTGTTGGCGGAAGCGCCCATGGCAACGAAGGCTCTGCAGCCGCCGGCCGTAGCTTGGGACTTTCGCTCTGGCCCGGCGCGGTATCGTCCAGGGCGGTCTCCGGACCCGACGCCATCGTTGAGAAGTCCCATCACAGATGACGGAGAATCTCTTAATCCGTGGACGTCGCGTCGAAGAACGGGTCGTCACGTCGAAGAAGGGTCGTCGCGTTCGTAGCAGGATCATCTAGATCGGCATCCTCAACGGGCTGCCCAGTCCGACTTGGCCGACGTCCGTCTCGACGACGTCGTCCGAGAGGCCAGAACTCCCTCGTTCTGTCTGTGTTGTACTCGGAGGGCGCTCTGAACCAGGGCCGGGCGGAGGCCTCTCTACGTTCGCCAATGCACCGTCGAGTGGGGTCACTGTTGCCGACCACAGGATATATCGGCACGCTGACCATCCTCCCGAGGCAACACTACGGAACTCAGCATCCTCACGCAGCGACAACGTGCTGGCCATGGACATATGCCTGGCAAAAAGTATCCAGGATGGCACATGGGATGGGTCTGTTATTCGGCCAAGCCCACTGCACTCCCATGACGAAGACTCCTCAGTGATGGCTTACGGGAGGGCTTACTGAGCCAGCAGCCTGGCTTCGGGCAACGCAGGGGCCTCATACAATAAGTAGTGCCACGGCCAGGGCGCTGCTACCGTCAAGAGTCACCAGTTTTAGGGCACGCGTTTAAGGGCGGCACATATCCCACAACGAGCCTCGATGGCGGAGGACAAAGGATGACGGTGATCTACGGTGCAGGACCGCCCTATTCACCAACACAGGATGTTTCACATACCACGCCACAGCTTACTTCAAAGGGTTAGAACGCGACATTCGATATTCGCCGCGCCGTCAGAGGGAAGAGAGCGCCCAATATCATTCTTCGGCAGCTGGCTTCTGGTAGCGCGTCGTATACTCAGGAGAGATGTGAGAAACTAGATGACTAGTACCACGGAGACGATGAGGGATGAGGGATGGGCTACCAGGAACCTGACTATCAAGCCCATCCAGACACATCCCAGCCTCAGTCTACGCTTGAGCCTGTATCTTTCTTCACCTCTTGCACAACCTCTAGCACCCTGCGGTTGGCAACATCTCGCTCTTCCAGGTCGAGTGCCCCGTATGCCTCCCGCACCTGTCCAAAGACCTTGGCTTCCCATGCACCGCCGATGTTCACCTGGCCGGCATCGTCCCAGCAAGCTTGCACGGTGGGACCGACGTTCTTGAGCAGTCCTTCTAGACCGCCGGGACCGCCCCCGGCATGGAAGCTCTTGAACGGCCCGGCATATGCCCAGCGCGGCCCCATGCTCGTCTCAAGAATTGTATCGAGCTGCTCAACTGTCACGATGCCCTGGTCCACAAGATGGATTGCCTCGCGAAGCAGCACCCACGCCAGCCGACCCGCCACAAAGCCAGTAATCTCTTTCTGCAGGAGGACAGGCTCACGGCCTCTCCGGCGCAAAAATTCAACCGTACGATCGATAACAGATTGCGACGTCTGTGGAGACGGTACAATCTCCAAAAGAGGCAGGATATGTGGCGGGTTGAAGGGGTGCACAACGATGAGGCGGGACGGGTCTCTCATATGGGCGTTCTGGCGGGAGGCCGGGATGCCGGAGGTGCTGGTCCAGAACAGGGCGTCTGGCGGAGCATGCTGCTCGACCTCGGACCAGAGGGCAGATTTGAAGGCAAGGTTCTCGGGACCGCATTCTTGGACTATGCCGCTGTCCTTAACGGCGGCTGGCACTGATGAGGCCAGCTTGACCTGTGGGACGCAAGGGTGCAGGCTCTGAGGGAGAAATGCCGGGAGAGACCTGAGAATGTGCGACTCGAGGTCCGGCCGAACATCGACGATGGTGAGGTTTGAAGGAGTCTTCAGATACGTGAGATGTAAAGCGGCAAGAGAGAGCCCGATGGTACCGGCACCAATTATGGTGATCCGCAGATTCGCATCGTCTCCGGTAACATTGACGCTGGCCATTCGAGTATATGTAAGAACTATCCAGCTTCAAAATCAAGACGACTCAAAAAGGTGTGCGAATTCAGTCAGAGCTGGGGGATGGCTCGTGAGGGCGGGGAATCGCGTCGCTTTAACACGATTGACACACGCAGTCACGTGATGCGAATGCGCCTTTCTGATGACATGCTGCACGGACCTCATTACCATTCCCTGGGAGGGGCCCGTCGATGGTGGCAAGCTCGCGAGTTGAGATGAAGCCCGACTCGGAATCTTGTGTTGGACACGCGCTGAGAGTGTCCAAGCTCGAGCGACGCAAGATCTCGCGACCGCAGCATGACGCTATGTTGTCGTCTGTTGGGCTGCTCACAGCCAAGGTGGACCCAGTGTCTCTGTCCGAGGCGATTGAGCTTCTACCCAAGCCGCCAAAGGCGCGACCCCACTGAGAACAGGATCGATGTCAAGCTCGGAGCAGTTTGCGCTGGCCGGCTCCATCATGGTTGCTGCAGCCCCTATCCCTACCAACAAAGACATGGATGAAGGCTCAGTCGGCGTACTCGGCGCTCGACGGCTTCCCCCCGGTTTCCTTGACTTCTTGGCCGGTCTCTCTGGTTCTCCTGGCAGCGGCTTCCCCAGTCCCTCAAGCCAATTCCCTATCGGCTTCCCCGGTTTCTCCGGTCCTCCCAGCGGTTTCCCTCCGTTCAATATCTCCAATCTCCCCCCCGTCGGCTCTCTCCCCGGCTTCGGTTCTCTCAATATCCCTGACCTCAGTTCTCTCAATATCCCCGGTCTCAGTTCTCTCCCTGGCCTCTGTTCTCTCACCGGCCTTCTCGGTGGCACAGGTAGTCCTCACAGTGGCGGTCAAACTAAGCCCGAGAACGCTGTTCATGGTGATCTTCTTGGCGGCCTTCTTGGGCCTGTTTTAGGTCTTGTTACCGGTCTTCTTGGCGGTCTTGGGCGGTCTTCTTGACCTCGCCGCTCAGCGCTGTAATGGTTACCATATCAACGTTCGAGGCGGCACGCTTATGTTCTGGGCCATGGCGGTGTGCCCCTTGGAATTGTATATTAGATCCCAGCTCAAAGCTTGGGGCATCATGCCAGTCGGACCTCTGTAAGCAGCCGTACAGAAGTGGCCTTCTGGGGATTCCTTATTCACACAAGTACCACGCGCTCTAGTGCCTTCAGATTTGTGAAATGGGTGTCTTGAAGATCGCTCGCGCAGACGGCGCGGAAACGGAGCGCACGGAACAGCAGCTGCCTACATCGGTTTCCGTCCCGAGAGAGAAATCTCTAGTGAATTCCTCGCTCTCGCCGTGGTATTCGCCCGGAACAACTGCAATAATTCCCATGAGTTCTGTCCTACAAGTTGGTATTGCTTGGAGTGCGTCTCGTTCCCTACCAACCTAAAATTGCGTCTTCACCTTCTCCAGCTTAACTGAGTTCTCGTCGCAGTACTTGCGCTGGAACGCCGGAGCAAGAAGCTTCTGACCGGTGCTGTTCTTCTGGAGGGAAATCAGTATTTTGGACATCTCGGACTCTGGCCTTGCTGGGCATCTACGTGCGAAATAGTCGGGCTGCACTCTAGCGATGTGAAAATAGCTTATGGTTAAAATACCGCTGCCTTTGCCACCTCATTAGTGAAGTAGCACGTCCTGGTTTTGCCTAATAATGGATGGATCTACCAAAGTACAGTATCAGGCTGACTCAAGGACTCGGCCCTAGGAAGTGACCCGAATGCCAGGCCGTTACAAAAGGCTTACCACTCGTAGCGCAGTGTGACCGACCCTGCCATGTCCTCAATGAACAGTTATAAGCCTTCACACTATAGGCAGTCCCAGCAGCATGAGCCGTATGTAAGCAGCCCTCGCAGCGTTCCTGGACTTACTAAGGAGACGCGATACCGTAAACACGCAACTTACGGCGCTCCACGCCGGGCCGGCACGGCATTACGTCAGCCGCTCGTACATCCAACAGGTCGGGAGTCGAAGCGGCGCAAATTGACCCAGTCTCTGGCATTATCAAGGCACAGAAAATTAATAAAATGAGAGCTAGTACAGGCCTCGCATAATCTAGTACTACCAGATGCTATATAGGGTACGTAGGCGCTACGTACGATGGACAAGTAAGCTAACACGTTAGGGCCTAGGACCGGTCCGAGGATAGGTCTAAGAACGTCGAGTCCATCACTACTTAGTAGCGACGGCGTGATCCCCTACAAAATTAGTAGGCGGCCAAGCTCTAGCGACTCATCTCCCTACCTAAAGGTACGTGAACCGTGCTCAATTGGCCCTAGCCCTCTCGCTAACTGCTTAGTAGAGCAAGAACGCGCCGCCGACACGTCGAGCAGGAACGGCGGACAGATTCTAGTAAAGGTGCCTTAGGCACCTACCTTTAGGTCCTTAAGCAGCTCACATTTCTAAGTGTTCCCCCGAGTTTCCTAAAGACGCCGAGGCTCTTGATTCACAGCTAGAAGCCGAGCGCTAAGAGAGAACTGGAAGTATATCGAACGGGCGCTTTGTTAGCTAATCAGTTGCTTCTGGAAACCTCTCCGGGTCATCGTCATGGTTCCTTCATAGCTTAAGCCCTCCTTGCGCCATCACTATTCGTATAGGTATAAGAAGCCGCCGCTTTTCCACGAAAGCTCAGCGACTTACATGACATTGCTCTTCCCATGGAAAACTCAACAGATATGGGCCCGCGGCTAAGGCGCCTGTTACCTGCCGAAACTTCAAAGACTGGATCGCGTGCCCGGGCTTCAATCTTCTCAGGCGATGTCATCCGAACGCCACTGCAGAAACTCAAGGGCCGCCGCAAAAATACCGCTTCTGCTTGCCAGTCTTGTCAAACGAGGAAGACGAAGGCATCCTTGCCCAAAGCCCGCTTTGCCACCTTCCTGTTCTAACGCCGTGTGTAGTGCGATGGCCGAAGGCCGGCCTGCTCTCGTTGCCTCTCGTGGCTTCCAGTGTAGCTACTAGACTGCCGAAGGAGAGACTTACTCTGTCGCTCTATAGCAAAGATACAAATTGCTGCAAGAAGAGAATAACGTAATCCACAAGTGACTGAGACACCCAAGTGAATGAGACACTTTCCGGGTGCTCGTACGACAATATATAAGAGAATTCAACCACAACGCCTTAAATCAATTGAAACTATGAGGAATCCTCTTCTTCAGAGGCAGATACAACTTTCTGACACGTACGAGCATTATGCCCGGGCTCGCCGCAGACGCCACATCGTCGCGCGCGCGTTTCGGGCCTCCTCGTACGACCACTATTCTGACTCGTTTCCGCCCTCAACTGCTCCGTCGCGTCGATTTGAGCCTTCAAATCTTTTGCCTGATCAATCGTTAGGGACCCTCCTTTCTGTAGCTGTTTTCTTTTCGTACGACGACGGCGGCTAAGGCGGTCATTTGCATCTCGAAGTTCGGCGAGGTCTTGGCGCATAAGGGTCTGCTCGTGCACCATCATTGTGATTCCTTTATTCAGCTGCCGCAGGCTCTCAATAATGGACGACGGAGAGCTATTCTGGTGTCGTACGATGCGATTTTTAATATACTCCGTCTGCGATTCGGCCTCAATTGGGTTGTTCGGCGTCTTTGAAACCCATGGGGCTGGTAGTCCAGCAGAGGAACCTGGCGGTGTCGGCGTATGAAACTTCATATCTAGCTGCGAAATCACATAATTCGGGTCGTACGGTACTAGGCCAGTTGCTCTAAAGCCTGCCTGGATGTTTGACTTTGTCATCGCAGCGTCGTACGCCTTATAAAAGGCTGGGAGGAAGTCCTCCTTCGAAACGTGGGTTACGTGCGCCCGTATGAGACCTTCGATTTCTTTACCGTACGCCCGTTTCAGAGGTCCAAAACACCCAACATCGAGAGGCTGGAGCTTATGTGACGAATGAGCAGGCATACAGAGCGTTACAATGTTCTGTTCCTTGCAGTAGAGCTCGAAATCGACGGAATGGTGGCTCTCGTGGCCGTCGAGGATAAGGAGGCGGCGGGTACCCTTCGTACGACTCTTCGTATGGAAATCGAAGTGTTTTACCCATTCTAGACCTCTCTCGTTCGTCGTCCAGCCATTGTCTGAAAGCGCGATTACCCAGTCGGCCGGTAGAGGGCTATTCGCGGTCCAGGAGTCGAGGTGGACCTTCCCCGCGAAGATAATATATGGTGGGATCGAATAGCCGTACGACGCGATGCCCTGGATTACTGTAACCCATTCCTGATTGCCTTGTTGTACGGCTCTTGGCCTCCCGCGTCGATCGGAGGTTGTAACGACAGTTTCGGCGGAGATCTTACCCATCGCGAAGCCCGTTTCGTCGAAGTTGTAGATGTCGTCATTGTGGATCCCGTACTTCGCAATTATATTTCGTACGAGCTCAAACCACGCGCGATACGCGTCCGGATCCTCGCAGAGGACCCTCTGGTAATCGATTCTTCGATTAAAACGCGTGCGGAGCTCTAGTCGTCGTCGTACGAAGTTTGAGGCCCAGTTCGTTCCGACGCGTGGCGCGTCGCGTACGCGGAGGAGTCGATCCGCCATTTCTCGAACACCACCTAACCGCGGTGGAAACGATCGCGAATCTAGGTCGATTATATATCGTACGATACTATCCTCTTCGTACGAGGTTAATTTCTGGCAGGGTGGTCGGATATCGCGTTTCGCAGCTTGGCCGTTTCGTCGTCGTGAGAGGGTCGCATGGGATACATTATAGAGTAGTGCAGCCTTTCGTACGCTTAATTTTGGGTTTGAATGGAGCGCATTAAGCGCTAGGACTAGGTCGCTTTCATTTGATTGTCGTCCCATTATTGTTGGTGGAGAAAAGGAGGAAAGAAAAGGGGGGGTTAAGAATGGGCGGAAAGTGTCTCATTCACTTGGGTGTCTCAGTCACTTGTGGATTACGTTAAGCAATTAAAAGAAATACTCGATTTGGTGCAGGAAAGGCTTGATTACGAAGCATACGAGATTTTCCGCCGCATACGGTTCACTCGAGACCCGGTTGGCGTCCTCCAGCACATCAAGCATGGCGATCTCTCCGGAGGATGACCCCGACCGCCAGTCCGCCGGACCAGGGTGGTAGGGCAGAGAAGGGGTTTCCAGAGTCGGTACTGATTCCCATCCACCGGGAGGGGAGGCTTCGTAATCTCTCCGCAGCGATACGGTACGCACTCCTCGAGTGGTCGGGCAGACGGCGAACTCGAATGACGTCTGCATATTGGGAGCCAGCGGCGTGTTACCGTCACCACGCCACAAATGCGCGGACGACAATCCGACGGGCTTTTGCGTACTCATAGAAGCCGCCGCAGTTTGCATAGAAATCTCTCTCTATTGAATAGGGGCTGGAACAACTCGAGTTGGTAGGTGGTAGAAACACCTTTCGCCGCCACCAATTTTGCTGCTTGGTTCTTGATTAACTCGTCGACCAAAGGGCAACCACACTCGCTGTGTTGTAAAACTATACTTTTGAGCCAGAGTGAAGAACCCTCCATCAGGTTCGGCCCGTAACAGGAGTTAGTGATCTTCGCTCCCTCCAGCCGCCCGGCATTGTCCATTTACGCCTTCGTTCAGAGCGCCTCCTTGACGTCGGATCCCTGAGTGCAGCACATGATTGAAACCACGAGTCACTTTCTGTTTTAAGCGAATGGGCAATATCAGAGTAACGTGTCTCATTTTACGATTCGTGATCTCCACCATTAGTTGTTAGGCAGCAATAGAGACGTTGCGGTTGAGATGCTTCCGGAACCAACCACTGGTGTCATACTTTTGGAGGCATATCTGCAACACAGAGATCCCTGGGGCTTCTTAGGACACTCCTCCTACTTCTCCCATAGCCCCAGCACGACTATTTCTGCTACAATACAAGCGAGTCATCGAAGTGCCCGAGGGGTTTGGCTTCGACAAATTTGGTCTCCGCCAACCACCAACCAGCCACTAACCCATTGGGGGCGGTTGATTGTGCCGACCAAGGCCATTCTCCGGCAGGGCTGGCTGTATTGATCCTGCATCCATTTCTCGATTGCAGGACGGTGGACAAAGTCTGGGTCGGGAGCGAACGGCACCATGCGATGGGGCCTGCGGGAAATCGAGGCATCCTCGATCGTCTGGAGCCCCAGGTGTTTGACCCCCTCCTGGATGTCGACGAGTACGGCACTGGGGTAGCATGTCAGCCTCAGCAGCCTCAGCAGCGGTAGGGGACTCGTCAGTGTGCGCACGTCTGATCAATCTGGAGCCCGAGCAGGATGGTCTTTTCATGCCGCTCAAGACTGGAAAGCACCTGGTCGACCTCTTTGCTGCTAAACGGCCACTTGATAGCTCAGATACCTAGATGACGCATACCGGTGCGTGAGGGTCTCGGCCGAGCGTCTTCTCCAGTCGCTCCAGGTCGACGATGCAGTCGCGACATGAAATGCCGAGCCCCTGGGATATGAAGAGAGGCTTGCCTTTGTTCCCTTCCACTAGGCGCTGGGCGGCCCGCACCGCAGTTCCAGATGGCTGACCTGGCTGTGGAGAGGCTGGATGTCTGCTCGGGCGCCGGCGACCTCCTTGGAGTAATGGAGGCACAGCGTCGCGACCTTCGCGGAGAGGTCGACAACAGCGATGACGTTGGCAGCGACTCCGAGTCCTTCCATGATGATGCCGGCTCGGACTTGTCACATTCAATGATCGATGGAGATAAACGAGGGGAATGAGCGGAAAGTTTGGATACATTTCATTTCTATGCCAGGCTGCAATCTGCATGGAGGGAGACACAGCTGAGCCTTCTTCTATCGTCATTGGCGGGCGGGCCATCAGGCGCAGCATCCATGATGGCGATGGGCTGGTCCACGAACAGCAGCTCAAGAATCAGGCTGCGGACTTTCTCATGGAGTGGCGCTCGCCATGGTGGTAGCGGCCGTCTGTACCAGCCCACTGGTTAAATACGAGGAGGTGCTGCCCCACTACGCCCGCGAATCCTGAGGCCCGGTCGTACACCTGTCGCCATTTACTCACAACAGGAAGCGGCAGCCAACTCAATGGGCTCCGGCTGCCGTGACAGTGACCAAGGATCGTGAGCAACGACGGCACCGGGTTGCGCCGAGGGTCGGGTTTGGTATTTGGCCGGCATACCCCTCCTTTTACCACAACAGGCTTGAGGTATTTGAAGAGGTCGCGGGGTCTCGAAGCATTCTTCAACTTTACCTCAATTTTGTCCACCACTCCTCTGGCACGTTCTGCGTCGGAAGCCTCCTTCCAAATTTTGAACGGCCATGGAGCCTCAGACGATACGGGATTTTAACGCCCTAGTGGCGAACTCGAAATTTGTTTTCGCCCTGGGTAAGTCGTGGTGCACCGCTAGAGGACCAACTGACGCTATTGATTTTCTGACGATTCTAATAGTGTACCGCGGGCACTGGTGTCCCTTCTGCATCTCACACATTCGATCCCTGAAAGCCCTCGAGCATTCAATCCGACATGCAGATGGAGAAACTGTCATCATCACCTCAGAGCGTGAAGAGCATCTCCCAAAAGTCAGGTCTGCAACAGGATACACCGGCCCCGCCATCGTTGACACACAGAAGCCTGTTGGTGGCAGACTTGAAGAAACGGGATATTGTGGATGTGGCTATCAGCGATATGAGGCTGAGGAAGTATGACCACGGCATGGCTCAGCCTGCCGTCTTTGTCATTCGACAGGATGGAACCGTTCTGTATCGATGGGCGATTGTGCCTAGCCTGGTAAGCAAGTACCTACTTCGACATTATCGCGCCCTTTGCTACTGCGACTGCTAATGCAAATGCTTCCTGCGTAGATGAACTTGGGCGGAGCAAAGGACAGGCCGCTTCTCGAGGAGATCTGGCATAACGTGGATGCAAGCCTTCATGGGAAGGAAGCAGTACACACGACATATTCGACCGCCGGGGTGGCGGCAGTGATTCGGGAGAAGCTCCGGTCACGCTAAGTTCGAGTGCATCGGGGAATTTCCGTAAGGGAAGGTGCAGTCGCCAATATTTTGCTCCCTCACTACTTCCTAGGTTCTCCTCGCTCAAATATTAACGGTTCAAAGCACGTATTGCACCGCTTCAGCCCGTATGTCAGAATTGAAAGCGAGCGGGATCAAGTGTCACTACGCTTCCATGTTCGACCAATCTCTTGATTCCAATGTAGCTCCAAGGCGATTCGTGTCTATGGAAACTTGTAGTCTATCAAACGTCGCCAGCCGCCACTTTCCAGGTCGTAGTCGTATCAAACCTTTTACATACATGCCGACCTCGCGAATGCAGGACCCAGGCGGTACTACAGAAGCCGCAGCGTACCATTATCGTTCCTAATCCTCTCGTCCAGGACGATTGCACTCCTAACCCAATCCCCACGCTCGTTTTAGCTCGGCCTCCAGCCTCCGACCACCGTCAACGAGGCGCACATCCCAGGCTGATGAGGCGAAATTACCTCCAACCCCGCCGCCGTGGCCGCCGCCAGGGATCTGAAGAATTTGTCCCGGGTGAATTAGGTCAGGGTTGTGAAGGCCGTTGTGTCGGGCGATCTCTTCCCATGAGCATCCGTGATCCGCAGCAATGGCTCGCAGCGTGTCGCCTGGGCGAACTGTGACGCTGCGTGGGCCGCCGGAGCTGTGGCCGCCTTGCGAAGCCCAGCGAAAGCTGCCGCGGTCGTTCTCCAGAATCTGGTTCAGGCTTATCGTGCTGGACTGGTAGGACCTGTCCTTCCACTTGCGTATATGAATTCCGGAGACATCGTCCCGGGCTCATTTGTCGATCCCAACATCCGCATGATCGCCATTCGCCTCCGATTGGTTAATCGTTAGCGTGTGGCCTCTGCTGGAGAGAAACCCCGCACGACAGATGCGGCTTGAATGGATATCCTCCTCGCTCAAGACCGGCGTGTGCGAGTCCTGTCGCAGCAAGCCACAGATCGCATGCCATCGCCTTTGTTTATATCTGGGTCTCCCTGCTTTTGACAGGCACTAGCTTCTCAAATCACGTCCTGTCCCTGTTGACTTCTACGTCACTCCAGATTTCTACTCACACAGATGCATACCAATTCCACCAGAGAATGAATGAAGAAGATATGGTTGGGGGCCTCTACCTCCATTCTGGGAACTTGGCCGCCTGTTGGGGCTGGCTCAGGAGGTTGGCGAGACTCGAGTCTGGGTTCTCGGCGAGATAATTATACACGGCATCCGCTGCTGTCAGGTTGGTATCGGAGGGCACATGGGCGTAGACGATGAATATGGAGGAGGAGTTGGTGAGGAGGTCGAGAAAGGCGTCGGCAGGGCGCTTGCGGTAGAGGGCATTGGAGATGGAGAGGAGGAAGGAGTTGAAGACGCGCCTGCAGGCGAGAGGGAAGGACGAGTCCCTCGGCAGGATGGGTGAATACCACCACTTGACGTAATCTCGGATGACGGCGTCAACGAAGCCACCCAAGGCCTCGCGGATCCCTGGTTTGAAGTCATCGAAGGTGTTGATTGCCCGCTCCTCTTCCTCCTTATCCTGAACCTTAGGCTCGGGGACCTTGTCGAGACCCAGCCTCGTGAGAACCTCGGTGCCTCGTTCGCCACGGACGATTCGAGAGATCTCGGGGTGCCGTGCCTCGTAGGAGACGCACCAAAGGCGCCGATAAGGATCAGGCCGAGCTTGCCCAGGACGACATAGGTCGCAGCGGCAAGGCCGACACCGATTCCGCCTAAGGTCTCGGAGGTCGCAGTGGAGAGAAACTTGAGACCTTTCGTAATGAAGTCGTCTTCTGAATTGATATTATGTTGGGGAGGAGCTGTTGAAGAGGGCGTTGACTCGGCCGGAAGCGCCGGCTGCTTCTCGAGGGTCGTCGCATTGTCAACGGTCTGCTCTGCAGGGGGTTGCGACGGAGAGTCCAGGTTCGGCGGCCCCGGCGGGTGCGTCTTGTCCACAATCGTCTCCATGATCGGGCGCGAGTCGGTATCGTCAAGGAACAGTGTGTGCCAGAGTTCTCTTTACATCCCAGCGACGGGGTCGAAATCGGATGCAGGCTGCGCACCGGGGCTGGACAATGGATTACGACAAGGAGGGGGATTGCGCGTGCAGCTCGCGCAGGCAGGAATGTGGCCACAAAGAGGAAATGCCAAGGGCACGCACAAGACACCTAACGTTGTCTCAGGATGTCAGAGCTTCGGCCACGGATTTCACGAACGTGTTTTCTCGTGAAGAATCCGAAACTCGAGCTGGACGGGAAAGACGGGATTGTGAAAGGGGCTTCCCATGCACACTGCAGAATAAGCGAGAATTGGGGAACGCTGTAGGGCCCGTTTGATTTTAGATGGGTGCTTGGCGGGCTCTAAAATTACGAACCCCAACGCCGCCAGAGCTGTCATCTCTGCACTATCGCAGTGGCTCCCGCCGTCTGCCGTGAAACTCGGCACGGGCCCTTACTTGATTAATTAACAATACCGGCCAATGCTGTGCAGGACGCGTGGGTAGAGTGGCGGGCTGCATCTCTTTCCGGGGAACACCGTAATATCTCGTGCGTGCCGGCGTTTAATCAATACGAAAGGGCCGTCAGATCGTCTCGTTACGAGTGAGCCGTGGTGCCGTGTTGAGATGAAACAACACGCCCCCTGTCGGAAACGGGGGCCTTTGCAGATTAGCGCATCTCCCGAGCTGTTGGTCGCTGCTGCCTTCTGAGGCGTGAGGCGACATAAGTGGAGTAGCAGTCCTCGTTGAATGCATCACGTGAGATCTCTCTGGCCACCACCGCCGTGGAGACCCAATGGCTTAACGATAACACGTACTTGGGCCCTGGCCAATTGTTACCACGCAGTGAGCTGACGAGTGCAATTGCAAATCTCCTGTGTAAACTGTCAGACCATGGATCGGCAGTACATCATGTTCGATTGATTGTGCATCCACGAGAGCTCTGGTAGATGCTATCGATGTCGCGAGACTAAAATGTGTATGAGAGCCACTGGTATGTATGGTACACGTGACATAGTCCATCGGCGGTAGCGAGGATGGAACCTGACACTCCACGTCTTTTCCCCTGCGACATGCCCCAAGACCTCTCACGATAGTGACCAATTGAAGTCTTCATTGAAATCATTGCTGAACTACAGTGAAGAAGCATCCAGCTTTATGCCTTCTTCAGTGAGCCATTGTTCAGTTGCCCGCTACGCACTGCTGGCAAACCCCCTTGGTCTCAGGCTGCACATCTTGCAGATTGTGCCTGGGTCATAACGCCTATAGCGCTAAAGTTAGTGCAAGATGAGACCCTAGGAGATAGCATCAGGTCTCAATAGGAGCTTCCCGGGACTATCGCCCCATGTCCTAGGGCAAAATCTGGGGACGCCTAGAGCCGGATGCGGAGAGTTGCCGGGTGTAGGCAGTTCGGGATGCCTCCGATAATGTTCGGGAGGGTCGGGGATGAGAGTTCACGGTCCGCCCTCGCCGCGGAGGACCATCGGAAAGACCGGGCTTCGCTCTTATTCAGCACGCTGGCATTCCGCCATGCAAGGATTACTGAGGACGCCTTACCCTCACCCCCCTTGATCAACGACAATGGATCACCTCATCGTGCAACGGGCTTTGGCTGCAGTTCGGGCTCTCGCTCCATACGCTGTATACGCCTCCGCAAAGGTCAACGGCCCTCTAGAATATCTTTCCCGCCAGTGCGCCCCTTCGGCCTTTGAGTCCTCGGCAGCTACAGCTCTCTACACCGTCCACTCATTATCCCAAGCCGTCATGGTCCCCTTTTGCAGAGCGCTGGCACTCAGTGTCGCGTTCACTTCCGCCCTCGCGCGGGAGCGTGTCGATACCCATATCCATGCTCTCCCTCCTCCGTAAATCGAGGCCCTCGAGGCAGCGGGTGGTAATCCGTCCGGCTTCCCAACCCCTCAGTGGACACTCGAAGCCACTCTACGGTCCATGGACTTGGCAAACACCCAAGTCGGTAAGTGGCAAAGAAGATGGACCAGGTGGTCAAGGCATATGCTAAGACGTATCCCTTTGCAATAGCCATCCTATCCCTCTCCACGCCGGGCATTCCCATCGCCGGCACGGGCGAGGTTGCCAGAAGCCTGACCCGGACCATAAACGAGTACTTTAGCAACGCGACGTCCCTACCCAAGAACACCGCGCGGCTTGGGTTCTTCGGCGTGCTCCCGGACTAGCGGGACGTCAACGGCACCCTCGCCGAGCTGGACTACCTGTACTCGGAGCAGAAGCTATGCAACGGCGTCACCGCCTACACCACCTACGGCGACAGGTTGCTCGGCGACCCTCTCTTCGCCCCCGTCTGGGATAGGCTCCAGCGGTACAAGGCGCTCGTCTTCGTCCATCCGGGTACCCTGACCGTCGCGCCAAAGTTCGTCGCCTCCAGCCTGGCCCAGCCCATCGTCGACTACCCGCTCGCAACCACCCGCACCGCCGTCGACCTCGTCATGACCCAGACGATGCGCCGCTGCCCGGACGTCGACGTGATCCTCTCCCACGCCGGCGGCGCCGTCCCGTTTCTCGCGGGAAGGGCCATCGGCGGGCTCGCGCTGCCGGAGATTGCCGACGCCGTCGGATACAACGCGCTGGGGGCCAAGAAGGACTTTGCTCGGTTCTACTACGACATCGCTCTGAGCACGAGCGCCGCCCAGCTCCATGGGCTCCTGGACTTTGCGGACGCCTCCCACATCCTGTTCGGCTCCGACTTCCCGTACGTTCCGAAGGCGGCCATCAGCACGCTGCTGGCTCAGTATGCTACGTTCGTGACCACGGACGCCAGAGGGCCCATGGTCAGCCCCGCGAGGCTTCGGGAGAACTCTCTGAAGCTGTTAAACAGACACACTTTGGGAAAGGCTTTCTAGGGGATACAGTGTATCCTGGCTTACCGTTCTTAGTATCTGGATAGATGTAGTGTTTTACTTTTCTTCTGCTTCTGTTATTTCTTCTTCTTCTCCTTCTCCTTCTCCTCCTCCGTCAACCAGTTCGCGAATGGACCACGGGGTCGACAAGGGTCTCTAGATAGGAATTTTACGCCGCAGATGGGTTAGTATAGAGAGATGAATTAAATGATACATCTCCGAATTTTATGGGCAAGCATAGTAGAGCGGTGATACTTCTCGTGGGCTGCGTTATGTGATATGCGAGGCGCCGGGATAATTCCGAGCATGTTCGCCATAACCGTCGGAATACACCCGACTACAGCCATGGCGCAAGTGCCGGCAACGTGGACACATCGAATCACTTCTCCTCTCTTAATAGTTACAAGGACAATAATAAAGTGGCTGCAAGACAGTCGGCATATGGAATCCGCGGACTCGATCAGCCCTATCCAGAGACGCCTGCACCCGTCCCGCCCTGCAACATCATGCTCACGCGTCTCCTAGACACCGTCACGGCCTTCCGCCAGCAACACCCCGCGTCCTTCCACCTGTTCACGGCCGCAGTTGTCTACGCATCGGTCGCCTGGGCGGTTCTCGAGTTCTTCAAGCCGATAGGCAAGCGAAGGGCGAAGAATAGTACGAAACAGAGGCTACCTCCGGGCCCCCCCGGAGCGCCCCTCTTTGGCTATTTGCTCGATCTAAAGAAGGCGGATGGCCCTTCGCTGAGATCAAAGGTACAGGCATAGTGACTAGATCAGTACACATGACGGACTCACCATAGAGCGTGCGCTAACGACGACGACGTGCCCTGAACAGCTCCGAAACCTAGCAGCGTACGGCGAGATAACAACGCTACACCTCGGGTCGAAGACATAGGTGCTTCTCAACTCGCACCGCGTCACCGAGGAGCTAATCGCCAAGAGGGGTAGCCAGACGAACACGCGGTCCCCCATGCCGGTGTCGAGCGGCCTCGTCAGCCGGGACCGGCGCTCGCTGCTGCTCCCGGCTGACGAGTGGACGGAGCGGCGGCGGGTGATGCACGGGCTCCTGAACGGCACGGCGCTGAGGCAGTACGGCGCCTGGCAGGAGCAGGAGAGCGCGCAGATGATGGCCGAGTACGTCCTGCGGCCCGACAGGTGGTACAGGCACCACTACCGCTACGCCAACTCGGTCGTGGTCCGGATCGCGCTGGGCGAGCGGCCGCACAAGTCCAGGAGGGAGCTGGAGGAGATGCAGAACGCCGTGGCCTTCTTCGTCGGCAGCATCGGGCGCAGCATCGTCGACTGGTTCCCGGACCTGGCGCGTCTGCCGCGCCGCCTCCAGGTCTGGCGGCCGTACTGGGCGGCGCTCGGCCGCTGGAACCACGACCTCTACAGCAAGTGGTACCACCCCGTCAGGGACAGGTTGCGCGACGGCACGGCGCCGCCCTCCTTTGTGCGGGACCACCTCATGCACCCGGACACGCGGTTCAGGGGCGACGACGACGACCTCATGTACATCGCCATGCAGCTGATCGAGGCCGGCAGCGACACCACGCGCGAGGCCCTCAACATCATGGCCATGGCGGCGCTGGAGCGCCCCGAGGCCTTTGCCGCGGCCCGCGCCGAGGTCGACCGCCTCTGCGGCGCCGGCCGCGACGCCAGGCCGCCCGTCCTCGCCGACATGGCATCGCTGCCCTACGTCTGCGCCACGGCCAAGGAGGTCCTCCGCCGGCACCCCATCTTCCCGCTCACGCCTGACCACGTCGCCTCCCAGGACATCGAGTTCGAAGGCTACTACTTCCCCGCCGGCACGGGCTTCACCATCAACGGCGTCGCCGTGTGCGACGAGTGCAACGACCCGCGCGTCTTCCGGCCCGAGCGATGGCTGGACGGCCACGAGACCGACATCGCCCACGGCCTGTGGCAGTTTGGCGGCGGCCGCCGCATCTGCGTCGGTTACCGCCTAGCGCAGCGCAGCCTGTTCATCAACATCGCCCGCCTGGCGCAGTGCGTCGACTACAGACCGGTGAGCTGCTTGGCCTTGAGCCCCCCCCCCCCCCCGGCTTCAGTGGCCCAAAGCAGCCAATATCGAGTGGCTGGAGGAGGTGGGATGAATGTGGAGGCATGCAGAGCGTGATGATATTGTTCTGCTGGCAATGGAGCTCGAATTCGGTCGAGTGGTGGCTCTCGTGGCCGTCGAGGATCAATAACCGGTATTTGCCTTTCGTACGAGGTGCTGTATGGAAGTCGAAGTGCTTGATCCAATCTAGGCCTACCGCATTGGTAGTCCAACCATTATCGGTGGTTGCGATGCGCCAGTCGGCCGGGAGGTTGCACTCGGTATACCAGTTGGCGAGGTGGTACTGTGCGGCCAAGATGATGAAGGGGGGGATGGCCCAGCCGAGGGCATTGACTCCCTGGATCACCGTTGCCCATTCGCGGTTGCCAGGCTGGGCCAGCTTTGCCTTGCTACGGCCATCCGAGGTCGTAACTACTATACCCGCGAAGATGATGCCCATCATGAACCCAGTCTCGTCGAAGTTGTAGATATCGTCATCCACAATACCGTACTTGGCCTTGACGTTCCGAACAAGGGCAAACCACTCGCCAATGACCTTTGGATCCTCACACTTGGCCCTCTGGTAGTCGTATCTACGCGTATAACGCGTACGGAGCTCTGGCTGGCGTTTGACAAATCGATGGGCCCAGAGTTGACCGACAGGAGGCCCGTCGCGTACGCGTAGCAGTTGGTTGGCCATATCTTCCACACCACACAATCTAGGTGGAAAAGCTCGCGTAGATAGCTCAACAATATATTGAACAATAGCTTCTTCTTCTGACTGAGTAAGCTTCTTCGACTTGGGCGTACTGTCGCATCGTGCAGGCTTGCCGTCGCGTCGGCGCCCTAGAGTCTTACGGGCGACCCCGTAAATCTCAGCAGCGGCTCGCACGCTTAGATTTTTGTCGTTTTGAAGAGCCCCGAAGGCCAAGATTATCTGGGCTTCCTTTGAAGTAGATGGCATATTGGGTGACTGAGAAAATTAGGTGTTGAGAGCGAAGGTGTCGCGTCGCGTAGAAAGTGGGCCACTCGCTGATATGGGCCACTCACTGATAATGTACGTTAGTGCTTCTGCCGAGTCGCAAGTCCATTCTTCGAGGATGTGCCGCGCCTGGGTATACTCGGGACCATCGTGCAGACCATGAGCTCTTTGGGACGTCCGTCCTCGGCAGTTCTCATTGGGTTTAGTGTTGCCCGAAACAACGAAGTCGTGAACTAGGATTATTCTGTTCGAGCACGATATTAGTACGAGCCAAGGTATATATCGGCTGCTCTACTGCTTACTCGTGCGTGTTGGCTTCGTTGTCCAGCTCCAGAACGCCGCCTGCTATCCTGTTAAAGGCCAGCGAGAATTGTCCCTGTGTGGAATCAGCTTCTTGAATATGGGCAACACTGTGGTCAGAGGGGTCTTACTGGTGCCTCTGAGTCAGCCGCGTAATCGCCTCGATGTTCATCCGGGAGGCTGCCCATTCTCAACCCGGCGGTGATTCAGTTTAAGGATTCGGGCAAGTTCGGCGGTTATATATGCTGTAAGTGTGAGCTACAGGGATTATAAGAACCGGTATCTTAACGTCATCTACGGAGTGCCGGACAATTACTACACCTAGCAGTGAACAGGAGGAATGACGTTTCACAGGAGAGGTAAACATGCCGCCAATTTGACCTGCTACCGTGAAGCTGGTGTCATTGTTTTGGTCATTTCATAAAGCGCCAGGACGATGCCTATCTGTACTGGACGTGGAAACAATTGGCGCACTTGAAGATAGAGGCCGTCGCATGGGTGCGTACAATGGGGTTAGAGCGGTGATCGGCCACATGAGCGAGACGAAGGTGCTGCAAAGGGATTAATAGAGTTGCAGCAATGAGTGGCGTAGGTTGATGCAACGTCCAGTGCGGCGACGGTTCTCTGTGCGCGCGGTCCTTGCCTGCGAGACTGCGACGACCGTGCACCAAGCCAGGGCGTTTACATAACGGATCGAATTAATGCAAAAAAGAGCGTTTGAGGCACTTCCAGAGTTTCTAACTGCGGCGGGTAGCAGCAAAATAACTTTCGATCTATGCACAAATTGTACTTCAATTATCCTATTGGAGCAAGGCAATTGCTACACCGGCGTGAACGAATGGCTACACCGGCGTCACTCTTATACAGGCGTCACTTCCATGGCCTTTGATTGGTCCATCCCTTTTTGTTAGTGCATTTAGATTCTGCCAACAGCGCCCGTTGTACCTCGGGCTTACCTCTCCACCGCAACGATCGACGCGCCTTATGGAAGCTCTTCACCAGCTAGCTACCACACTAATTACCTCTTTGCCGCATGTCGAGCCTACTTAGAATGATTTTCGCGAAAGATACGGTATTTGTTAAGGTCACAGGGCTGGAGTGAGGTGTGTTGGACCCCTGCTGAGACCAAAGCTCGAACACAGGCTGTATCAGATCACGCTAACAGCCTCATCTAGAATCGGCATCGCAAAGCAGGTCTTTACTTTCTGCCCGAAATGAGACCCTTCTTTCCTTCTTTCATAGTCGAATCAAGTACTCTTTTACTCATCTTCTCACCGTGCGTGCGACACTCCCTATCGCGATCGAGGCCGTCATGTCCCAGCCCGAGTCTCCATCTAGCTCCCTAAGCAACCAACGACGACGAAGCTATCAATTCCGGCCTCGAAAACGACAGCGGCAGGACCAATCTGATAGTTCAAGACCACCTTCCTCTAATAGCACAGGCACGAGCATTGGCCGACACTACGGCGTCGGCGACGATGAAGCACTCTATAATCTTTTCGCCTCATATCCAGAGACGTTGACGACCGCGCCACGGCCCCGTGGATCGCGCGGGCTGAACGAGCCACCATGGGGGCTACGATTCGATCAAGAGATTCACCTTTCGAACGATTTCCCATTCCAAGGAAGACGATCCCAACGAGTTAGAATCCCTATACCAGGCCCAGAAATGGACCAACTACCTCGCTCCTCTCCACCGCGATCAGTACAAGAGCATCCCTCTCCCACCAAGGCCGAGTTTCATTCTGTTCTCAAGCTAGTACGCGAGGTGATTGGGACACACCGGAGACTAACCCTCGAGCTCGTCCGGTCATACGAACAAGTCCGCCAATGGCGTGAGAGATGGGGTTACTCGCCGCTTAGTTCAGATGCACTCGAATCACCTCCGCCCTACTCGCCTCCCCGAGACAGGCACTCTCCGACTATAGCTTCACCGCCCTTGCCCGACCTCTCGTCATCGCCTGTCCCTGACGGGATCCCGAACCCACCTATCCCAGGCGACCCAGCGCCGTCAGCCGAAGTCCTGTTCGAGTGGGTGAATACTTTCGCGAAGGCTAATGGCTTCGGTATTGTTCGACGAAATGCACATTCATATAAGGGTCGGAGGATCCGGTACACTTTTCAATGCGATCGATTCGGAGAACCAGCCCCTAGTCAAGGCGCAGGACTTCGACGACGGAAGTCTCGAAAGTGTGGATGTAAATGGATGGTTGTTGCCGAGGCGTTAGAAGAGGGGAAGTGGCTCTTACGACAACACTCGAAGCCCGAACACAGCCAGCATAACCACGGCCGCAGCATCGGGCCATCTGCTCATCCCTCCCATCGGAGACTCACCGAGCCTATCAGGACAACGGTCGAATCGACAAGCCGTCGGGTCGGAATTCGGGCCCGTGACGTACGTGCTATCGTCCAGGAGCAGCATCCCGAATCATCCTTTACACGGAAAGACATCTATAACGCCAGATCTCGTATCAACCGAGACAAGCTGGATGGCCATACTCCTACTGCAGCACTGATCAAGCTGCTTGACGAGATGAAGGTTCCCTATCTCGTTAAGTGGGGAGACGATGAGCCAAACCGTCTTGTTGGCCTTGTCTGGACATTTCCTTACTGCCTCCAGATGTGGAAGCGGTTCCCCGAGGTGATCAGCTTCGACAACACATATAACACGAACCGCTTCAAGCTTCCCTTATTCCAAGCAACGGGACAGACATGCCTTGGCTCTGTCTATAACGCTGCCTTCGGTCTGATAGATAACGAGAGGAGAGAAGGGTTCCAATTCCTCTCCGAGAGCATTCGACAGCTAGCAGAGCAGCACTCCATCCGGCGACCGGATGTGATCGTCACCGATTTCGACGACCAGATGAAAGCCGCATTGAACGGCCAGTTCCCCGATGTACAGCAGCAGCTGTGCATCCACCACATCAATTCGAACATCCTGCTTAAGTCAAAGCAGAGGTGGGTTAACGCCCGCAGCAGCAGCAGAAGTAGCCCTGGTACCAGCGACGGAGAGGCAACTACCCCGCAGCCACAAGCTCAACTAACCCCTCAAGACCGAGAGTTGGTTCACACGCCAACAACCGAGGCTATCCCTCATAACTATCGAGGAGTTCTCATCATGTGGAAGCTCGTCTTATTTGCTGAGACGGAGGAGGCCCACGAGGAGGCATGGGCAAACCTCTGTAAGGAGTTTGATGACCAGCGAGCTATCCTGCGGTATCTCCATGGAACCTACATGCCCGTCAGGGCCCAATGGGCCCGCTGTTTCATCCGGAAGTATCGCAATTTCGGGGTCCGTGTCACCTCTGGTACAGAAGTAAGCAACAACAACATCAAGAGCTATCTTCTGAATGGTATGAGCAATCTTTATCGCCTTTTTGAGGCTATGCAGGACATGATGAAGGACCAAGAGCGGGATTTCAACGATGCCTGCGCAGCGGATGAGGTACTTACCGCACGAGAGTATATGGGGTCCGGCTCGGAGTATCTTGGCGAACTCCGAATAGCGCTCTCTTCGAAGGGTCTCGGACTGATCACGAAACAATATCGGCTGGCAAGGAAAGCAATGCCGACAAGAAAGAATCCGTTTCCTGACCCTCTCGGGGATTGCGGCGAGGAATGCTCGGTTTCGACGGAACTTGGAATCCCCTGCTGTCACACAATCTACTCAAAGCTGGGAAGTGGCACGCCTTTCACCAAATGGGAGGTCCATCCTCGGTGGCGCCTACGAGAGCCATCCTCTCGAGATCCATACCGACGAATCCTCGACCCTAAGATCGCCACTGCTCTCCGGGGCAGACCTAAGAACACCACGCAGGTTGTTCCAGCGCGGCTAGCCATCGGGGCAAGCAGCCAGCCCAGTAGCCAGCCAGCCAACAAACCAGCAAGCAAGTCACCACGGCGCAGACGTGGTCGACCACCGGGAAGTCTCAACAAGTCAACGCTAGCTAGGCCTCCACTGGAAGTGAGCCAACAGACCAGCAGCCAGGCTAGTAACCAGGCCAGTACCCCATCCCAGCGCCAAACGCGCAGCCGGTCAGTTGTTCTTGGAGCTGGAAGAACTACAGGAGTACGTGCCAGCGGGCGGCAGACGCAGCCTAGCATTCGTAGGCGAAGGAGTCAGTGGGAGCTGCTTGACAGCGACGAGGAGGTACTTCCCTCGATAGTAGTGAGAGGATAGCGATATGGAGAGCTGGCATCTAGAGCATACTTGAATTGGTCTTGTTCTGCAGATCTTGTTATGAGCTCGATTTAGACCTGGGTTGACCCTATTGGTTCTTTACCGAAGCTGAGGGACTTGTTAAGGGAGCTGGCTTCACCGCCTTTGCGCCGATGTACCTGTGGGTCGAAGGAAAAAAGAGCGAATCAGAGGCCATGGAAGTGACGCCTGTATAAGAGTGACGCCGGTGTAGCCATTCGTTCACGCCGGTGTAGCAATTGCCTGGAGCAAACCGCGCAGGTTGTTGCTCGTCAGAGTCAACCAGGCCTTGCACGAGCCCGAACATGGCTCCCACGAATATCGCAGATGTAACCACGACTTCTGTGCCTTCTGGAGGAGGCTGCCTGGCTGGGATTGCCGGCACCACCCTGCGGGCGCAACTTTCAGGGCCCGTATCGGTATGTGCTCATTTCTTGAAGCGATATTTAATAGCGACGAGGCTTCAAGCCCGCGGGCATGCCCCAAATGGGACACGAATAACCAGCGGTAAGGACAGGGCGGGAGCGCCTCGGTGGGCATAGCGATGAGGTGGGCCGTCAATTAAGTCCGAACAACTCACGGCCGAGTCGCGATTATAAGATGTATCCGGACCGTCAGCTGGTGTTCTTACGTCGCCTTCGGGCACTGGTCGGTTGCCGGAGCTCTCATGATGGTGGCCATCTCCTTGCTGCTGCCAGGTTCATTATCTCATTCCTTTCCACCTTCTCCTTTTGGTTTTCATTTGCGTTCGAGAGTGACGCGCAGTTCCTACCGATGCAAGGCACTTCAAGAACGAATAACGACTTTCTATCCTCGTTGCTTGAATGCAGAACCCAGAGCACCCATGCATATGGAGCGAGCTATTCTCCACACGCTCGCAGACCAGATGCTTGGCCATCGTTTGCAGGCAAAGTTTCGTTGATCACGGTGGGCCCGCTTTCTCAGTCTCCGGCCCACCTCCGTTCAGGACACCAGCTAGATGCCGCTCGAAATAGAGAGTCCAGCAGTGGATTTCTATGGAATTCAAAGAACACCAATGAGTCTAGAAAATCCACAGCTATTGCATATTATGAGATGAGGTGGATGCCGTGAAGGCCCTTTTTAATAGGTAGGTGCACGAAGGCGTACTCAAGAACGACCTCTTCCTTTTGGAAAGCCCCACTCTGCCGGGGTCCTCGCCTCGTGTGTTGGCGCTCACGATAGCCCAATTACAGATATGATCCAGCGTGTTCTATCTTTCAAGCATATCAATCGAAGCCGACGAATAATAAGAGGTGCTGGATGGAGGTTGCCATAGCAGCTGATTGGAGGGGGTGGGGGTGTTGAAATTGTAGATCGAGGGCTGGATGGCCCTGTCGGAATGGGGGTGAGAATGCGCAGTCTGGGAGGCCATCGGCAGCTTGATATAATGGCGGTGGGACAATAACTTGAGCTAGTGATTTCTCGGTGTGGACAATAGATGATTTGTCGAGAGTAGGCTTCTAACTTGAGAGGGTAAATGTACCTAGAAAGCCACTTTCCTATATTGCATTCTCTAATACCAAATCTATCTGGCCTTACTCCTCATCCATTCCCCCGCCGAACGAGATCTCCTGACCGTACTATAGTATAGTGTGCTATCTAAGACCGAATCTAGGCTCGAGTAGTACCCTATTGGGATTGCCAGGAACACCCGCGAACTCTTACCTAATAGTTCGCGACATATCTCAGCTAAACCGAACCAGCGGTAATGTTAGAGGGGAGAAGGGGGTCAGAATTAAGTTGAAATAAAAGGCTGAAGCTTCTCTACGGACTAATTGAGAACCATTGAGGTCAACTACGTTACTCCAATTAAGGTCAATCATGATACGCGTAACGGCTGGGGTTAAGTAGCTGAGCCCGGGTGATCCCCCGAGCCCAGCCGGGTCACTAAAGTTTAATGTGATAGCTCGTATAACGGAGAACAATGCGACGCGACAAGGGGGCACGCGGCAACGCGGGACGGGCGAGATAGACTTGTCGGCCATATGAAGTGAGGAGGACATAAGACGGCTAAGGGCAAATCCAGTCAATACGAGACCAATCCGATAACACGCGAGGGAGTACATCCCACCGTAAAGCAAAACGAACGCTAGCGCACGCTAGCTATGGATAGAGCGATGGGCAAGGAAAGTAGCGAAGTGAGGGCGGTAGAGGGGGGAGGAGGGATAGAGCGGGAGCCAGCAGCGAGAGTCTTTCTCTACGAACCCGCTCGGGTTTTAGTCTGCTTACACTGTAAAGCGGCTATCCGACCGGGCAAGAAGGTCACTGTGCACTTTCGGCGGAAGCACAAGTCGAAAGAGGACGAGCTACAGCGGATTATCCAGCTCGCGGCAGCTGCTGCAACGACAGTTGCTAGTACCGGTGGGCTTGTAGACCCATACATGGCAGATCTTCCGGCAGATGACAACACTCCTATCCAGCAGCTTGCGGTCCAGGAGGGGCTCTGCTGGAGCGAGTGTTGGTATCTCACAATAAGCCAGCAGCTCATGTCGCAGCACTGGATTGCGAACCAAGAAGACAGCAGTGCCGAGGATGGACGCCCACAGCACGATGGCCTCAGTAGCTGGACCGAGGTAGCGCTCCAGTTATTCTCGTCGGCTAGGCAGTTTAGACGGTACTGGATAGTCGACGCTCCGGTGCCAGGAGCACGACGTGGGGCTGGGACCGGATCCCGGACCGCAGGCGGGGCGGGAGTCGTTGATTCACGACGGCTGGGAGACCCACATAGCCGCGTACGAGGCTAGAATCACCGCCGAGGATGTGGAGCGTTGCCGAACGATCGATCACAAGCCCGGCATCGACTTCGAATCGCCATTAGGTACGCCACATGGGCTGGGCCGAGCATCTGGCCGGCAAGAATATGGCCGATCTAAGGCGAGCTGCAGAGCCCGGGCTGTCGACTAGGAGAGGTAGCGAGGCTAAGCCTGCATGTACGCAAAACAGGCCCAGTCCACCTTCTTTGGGACTACTAGCGAACTAGGGTCTTGATTGCCGAATTGGGGTAGACATTGTGACTACGAAGGCCGGACGAGCTGTCTGTTCAGTGTCAGTGTGCAGAACATTCTAGACCAGCCCTTGTTTTTGGAACGCAACTGTGTCGGTCGATTCTTTCCGCATGCTGGCTCGCAACTCAATGGGAGCGCCTCCGACATCTAGTATTTTCTCTGTGCCCCTTGCGAACATTGGCTTGAGTGTCGTGCACAAACCTGGCTGTAGGCACGTTGAAGGACGACCAAACCAGCTCGGATGGCCGACTTCCGTATTGGGATGGGCCTCGGCTCAGTGGGCGCAGCACTGACGGGATGGCCGAGACGTCAGTGTCAGTACGCTAAAAAGTGGCGCTACGGCAGGGCAACCAACCATTGCGAACCCGTTGACCCCCTGAAGCCTTTATCTGCGGGGTCAGGTCCCCGTCTGCCAACTTCCACTTACACGTGCCAACCATCCGAACTGCTTGGCTTCATCTTCCTCTGCCGGCCCTGACGCTCCTTTTCCTCACGACAACCCGGTCCTCGCGAATGCCTCTTGCGCCCAACAGCAGCGCCAACATCGCCTCCAAGTGTGCCGACACACTGCTTTGCTGGCTGCGCACCCTCCCGCTCTGGGCCCTCGTCATTGCCCTCGTCCTCCTCGGCGCCCTGCGTTCCCGGCTCGTCGCCTTGTTCACCAGCCGGCGCAGCGAGTCTCGTCGAGTACCCAGCACAGGCGGCGGCGGCAGCGGCGGCGCTACACGCAAGATCAGCTAGATTCCTGACACGAGGACCACACACATACACAATCCGGGCTCGCGCAACACCAGGCCCTCACTCAACATGGCCTCCTCGGCAGGTGCGATGCGGCGCATCACGCGCGTCGCCGGCCCGGTCCTGGTCCCGGCGCTCGCGTACGGCGCATACAAGGTCGACCTGGCGCTGCAGCTCAAGAAGTTCCTGACCGGTCCTGGGAAATGGAGTCGGCTGTTCGCGCTGGTGGTGCTATTGTTCAACTGGAAGAGCCTGCCGTTTGCGTGGAGTGTACGTTTGTCTCTCTCTCTCTGTTTCTCCCCTCCCGCCCGCCTTGCTCTTCCCCCGTACCGTTTTTCTTGAAAGAACTACAAACATGTTAACATCAGCCAACCCCCCCCCCCCCAAAAAAAAATACAGGTCCGCGTCCTCGGCAACATGATCCAGCACTTCCTCGTTCGGCGCCCACACTCGCACTCGCCAGACAAGCTCTTCCACCCGGTCATCAGCACGACACACACCTCGCTCATGGAGGTCGACTACAACATCCACAAGTCCAACTCGACCTACTTTGCCGACCTGGACGTCAGCCGCACACACCTGGTCGCGCACCTGCTCGCAATGGGGCCACCTGGCGGGGAACAACGCCAAGACCGGGCTCGTCCTGGACCCGACCACGGGCCGGCCGGCCAGGGGCAAGTTCGGGGTCATGCTGGGCTCCGTGTCGTGCTCCTTCAAGCGCGAGATCAGGCCGTTTGCCAGGTTCGACATGTACTCGCGCGTGCTCGCCTGGGACTGGAAGTGGATGTACATTGTCACGCACTTTCTCGGGGCGTCGCTGGCGGCAGCGGCAAGCACGCGCCGGGCAAGCCACTCCCCGCCGGGTGGGAGAAGAAGGTCTACGCGACCGCCATCAGCAAGTACGTGTTCAAGATTGGCCGGCTGACCGTGCACCCGGCGGTCCTGATCGGCGCGAGTGGGCTCCTGCCGGAGCGGCCGGGCGGGTGGGTCACTGCTCCCCCGGAGGGCCAGGAGAGCAGCAGCGGCGTGTCGACTCCTCCTGCCGGTGCTGGTGCTGCTGCCCAGAACGGCAGTGCGCCAGTAGTCGAGGAAGAGAAGGAGGCAAAGGTGCAGGCCAACGGCTCGGCAGACGCGACAGAGGGGACCAACGGCGCCGCGAAGCCCGCCGAGCCAGTCGCCGCTGCTCCGTCAACCACGGCAGAGAGCGAAGACACCTTCGGGGCGGCGGTAGATGGTGAGTGGGACTGGCGCCGCACCGAGGCCGAGCTGCAGCGCGGGCTGGCGTATGCGAGCCACTTTGCCGCGCTCGAGGGCTTGCACGGCGAGTTCCGCGGCACCGAGGAGGGCATGCTAGGCCGATTCTCGCTGGGTTAGAGTTGAGGCTGAGGTTGAGGTTGAGTCTTGAGATGAGCTTGGTCGCAAGGGGTTCTCACTCTCACCCATTCTTTCAAGAAAAAGGAGATTGTGCCGTGCCTCGTGGCAACAGAGCGACTTCTGTTTTCTTTCACTTGCGATGACAAGGCACACACCCGCAAATGGAATTTGTGTTTGTGTTGAGGCCCGTCGGGTCGGGTCGGTGTTGGCATACCCCGAGCTCAGCACGTCCATGTCCCCCCTTCCGACGTCCTGTTCAGCTAGCTTGCATACCTAAGATTTCTGTCATAGAAAGAAGATGGGATGGGCGATTGATTTCATACACTCTGTATATACACTTTTTTGATGGCGGCAGAGGGTCGGATACAGAAGGCGCCAGACAGGACGCCGATAGACGAAGAGACACACCCCCGACTAGAATTACACATCGAGAGAAATGTTAGACCATTCATGATAGTTATGGCCTTTGAATGCGCGGATCTGGCTGTGTAGTGAGTATTGAGCGAGGATGGTCGGTCCCGGGCAGTTGTGCTCCTCTTGCTCTTGGCCTGCGCAGATGGCGATCTGACGAGCAATGATTATCCCCCCCCCCCCAAAAAGACTTTTATAAGACGGAACTGGAAAGCCGGCCACAAGCCAAGCATCCGCTGGAAACGCGTTGTCATGGCTCGAGTGTTACAGCCAGACTTGTGGTTTCACGCCGATGACACAACGCAACTGAATAGTCGAGACCCCGTCTAAGCTACCAACACCGACCCGACATGCTGCGATGTACATGTACGTGATCCATGGTCAATGTGGGAGGGACAGGCACGATAAAATCTCGGATCACACACATTCTCGCATAGGACTAACGACAGTTCATTGTGACGCTACGTGAACACAAAAACGACAATAATGGGGGATATCTGAATAAGTAACCACAGCCCAACCGACTTTAGGCAGTCTTTTCTTGTACTGCTTCCGTCCATACAAGCAACCTTCATGTTGCCCATTCTCCAGCTTACACACTCTTCATGGCCTCGAAAATTTAAAGAGCCATGACGACAGCAGCAGCGGCCAGGCCGAGCGCGGCGCCGTTGCGGATGGCACCGGCAGGAGTCGCGGAGGGAGTCGAGGTGGTAGACTTTGTGGGGGTGGCGGAGGGGACGAGGTTGCCGAGAGAGCTGGTGGCGGCGCCGATGGCCGCGGTGGCGGAGCTGACCTTGCTGGAGACGGCATCGCCAACGGCGCCGGCGGCGACGGCAGCGCAGATCTTGGCAGAGATCTCGAAGGTGGCTGGATAGCAGTGGCAGTCAGTACTTTGCTTTTTTTTCGGGAGAGCCTGATAGAAAGAAAAGAGGCATGAGAAAACTCACCAGTCAGGTCAGAGACCTCAGTGCAGCTGGTGGCGACACACTGGGTGCCGGCAGCAGTAAGCTCCTCGACCTTGTTGCACTGGCAGACAAGGTCGGTGACGCCGCAGCCAACCGTGGCGGCAGCCTTCTGAATGCATGGCTGGGCGCATTTGGGGACGGAGGCGACGAGCTCCTGGAGGCTCTGGGCGGTCGCGGCGGCGACGAAGAAGGAGAGGACGACAGTCTTGATCTGCATGTTGGCGGTGTTGTGTGTGTGTGTGTGTGTGTTGGAAAGAGTGTCGAAGGAGTGTGTATGTGATTAAAGGCTTTGGCGAAACAAACAACTTTTATTACAGGCTGACGAAAGTGATGATGACTTGAGAAACTGGAGAGAGAGACCAGGCGGGAAAGACGAGGAGGGCCGGGGACGCCCCTCGAGTTATATGGGATCTGGCGATCCGAATATGGTCACCATGCTCGTCCAAGCCTGCAAGTGTTTTCGACTCGAACTTCGAGACAACTCCACCAAGCCCACCTACGGGGATGTTGTCCCCTGGCAGCCGTAGCCCTGCGCAGTGCGGCAGGGGTTGGACGCGTGAGGACCCCTGCATCGACCTCCAATGATGAGCAGTCCGTCGGTTGCTTGGACCTCGTGCTTGTCTCGTGGGTGCCATTGATGGCGATGCCAACGGGGAGCTAGCGGAGCGCCGCCTGGCAGTCCGGTGCCCAGCTCGACTCGTCGTCTTGGCAGCAAGATGGTGTTTCCCCATTGTTTTGCCATGGAGCTGATGATCGACAAGCCGACGGAGCCTGCTGCAGACGGTGCCGTGGAAAGTGGATGGACTGTACGAATGTGCCACCCCCACCGATACGACGATGGACCTCACCCTCCGGTGCGGAGGACAAGCAACCATGGACGTTGCGAAAGGGGGGCTGCCGGGCTCAGGGCCGTTGGGGTTGTCGTAATAATTGAGAGTTTGGACGATCGCACTTGACAAGCCCAGTCGCGTGGGCAAGGGGCCTGCTGGAGCTTGTCCGTGATGACCATGTTGAAGGAAAACCGCCTGGATAACTCCACAGAGGTTTTTTTGAGGGGCGAGCTCCTCCAAATTCCCACCGTGCGCACCACCAGACCCACCAATCAAGCTTCATGCAGGGGCTGGCATCGTCGACCAGGGGTGTCCCTGGTAGCTCAGGAACATGGCTAAGGGGCACGCATCCCGGAGGCGTGCTTGAATCATGGCAGCATTGCGTAGTGTGGGGGAGGATAGAGGGAGGCGGCCTGGCTCTCGCTGCCGCGATTACTCAATGCATACCGTACTGTACCTTCAGGCTGATCCTCCGCAGTTGCTGTGTTTCACGACGGCGATCTTTGAGCTTCAATGTGAGAAGCACACGGCCCGTTGGTCGTGGCGGCTGTGACCGAGACCGGGCGAAACGGGGGCGGATGGAGGAGGGCAAGGGGGAAAAAGGTGGAAGAATGGATGGCGTGAGCACAGGGGCCCCAGATACGGGTCGGCCCAAGTTGCGTGCAGCTCGGCCGGCAGGGCAGGGCAGGGCAGCAAAACAGCACAAATGCCTTCAGGTACGCCGCTCATCACCAGTCACGCCTACTAATTACTGTCCTAGGTGCCCAAAATGCTCACCCCTGAGATCGCCACGGACGGACGACTTGACGCTGCTGACATGATCTTCCCTTTTG